AAATGTTATTTATAGCTGACTCCAAGTCTTGTCTACCCCTAAACTGAATCTGGAATTGCAATCTTTAAAGCTAAGAGACTACTGTTCTCCTTTCCTCTGGACCTCATCTCATACAGTAAACACTCTGTTGTGCCCAGACTCTGAACCCCCGCCCCCAATCTACCCAGAGACCAGATCCAATGCAAAAGCAAAGTCTTTTTTTTTTTTTTTTTTTTTTGGTTTTTCGAGACAGGGTTTCTCTGCATTGTTTTGGAGGCTGTCCTGGAACTCACTCTGTGGACCAGGCTGTTCTCGAACTCAGAGATCCACATGATTCTGCCTTCTAAGTGCTGGGGATTAAAGGTATATGCCACTACACCCAGCCCTAAACTTTTCTTTAATTCCTTTTCACAAGTTGGAAGCTTAGCTGGGTGGAATCTTGTTCTGAGGTAACTATTACCTTCATTCTATTTAGCACCGGGTGGTGTTTTTTTTTCTTCTTTTTATCTCTTTGAGCACTGGACTTAATTCCATTACACTTCCTGGTATTCTTTTTCTCCTCAAACTGTACTTTTTGTATTTTTTTTCTTGCTCAGATTGCTCCATTTCATCATCAGTTATAGTAGTCATGAATAACCAAGCAGCACAGTCAACAGTAGGCTGTCTAGAAACCTCTCTGCCAAAACTGTTGATCAATAACTCTTAAATTTAGTCAGAAGCAGATTTTATTTTTTGGACAATGACAGAAATCAGCCATATTCTTTGTCAAAATATCACAAGAATGGTCTCTAGGCCACATACTAATAGTCTTCTCCTCGGAAACCTCTTTGAGTGGGACCTCACAGTTCCAATCACCCTCAGCACCACTGTTTTCCACGCTCCTACTAGTATGACCCATTGAGCCCTGCTTAAGCATTCAATGGTTGTGGCACTCGATTCGCTGGGAAAGGCCAAAGACACAGGCTCAATTCAAATTCAGGTTAAAGGAATGTATTCTTACTGCTAACAGAAGGATGGCAGCCATAGAGGTGAATAGCATACCACACCAAATGGAGCTAAAGGGAGGGTTTATTAAGATGGATAACAAGGGTGTATGTTATAATTATCTATGGAACCTATAGCTGGGCAAGAAAATTGTTTTACTCCCCTCAGTTGTTTCTCCTTCCCATTGTATAATAACAAAAAAGAGCACCTCATCCCTGTACCACTGTAATAAGCGAGTTTACAAAAGCAGAAAGCAGGAGTGCTATTATCTTATTTCTTATCTTACCTATAGGCCACTAGGATCTCACAGGCATTCCAAGGCAAAGATGAATGGCCCTTAGAGGATGTCTGGTACCATACTGAGTTTCTTTAGCCATCACAGGGAATCACAGGGAAGTTACATGTAAATCATTATATAGGTCTGAGCACTCTTGGGGAAGTGTCACCAATGACTGGGATAAGAGCAGGGAGTAACACAGTTCCATCAGGTTGGGCTGGCTATCACATCCCTAGACAACTGCTTTCCTAATACAAAGTTCCAAAGTCTACATTCCATCAAAAAAAGCAAGGTCAGGCTTATCAGAACAACACCAGTCCCAGGTACCAACTTCTGTCTTAGTTAAGGGTTCTTTTGTTGTGAAGAGACACCATTACCACAGCAACTTTTATAAAGGAAAACATTTAATTGGGTGGCTTACTGTTTCAGAGGTTTAATCCATTTTCATCATGGCAGGACATGGTGGTGTGCAGTCAGACATGATGCGGGAGAAGGAACTGAGAGTCCTACATCTTGATCTGCAGGCAACAGGAAGTGAACTGAACTAGGCAGAGCTTGAGCATAAGAGACCTCAAAGCCCACCCCACATTGACACTCTTCCTCCAAAAAGGTCACATATGCTTCAAGATGGCCACACCTCCTAAAAGTGCCACTCCCTGAGCTTATGGAGGCCAATTGCACTGGAACTACCATATTCTACTCCTTTGGCACCCATTAGCTTATAACCATATCATAATCCAAAATGCATTTAGTCCAATTTCAAAAGTCCCTATAGTCTATCACAGTTTCAACAGTGTTTTAAATTCTAAAGTTCAAAGTCTCTTTTGAGATTGTTAATTGTAATCCCCTATAAAATTAAAATAAAAAACAGATCACATCCTTCTAACATATAACAGCACAGGATATGCATTACCATTCCAAAGCATAGGGAAGGGAGCATAGTGAAGAAATACTGAGCTAAAGCAAGATCAAAAACCAGCTGGGCGAATCCCAAACTCTGCCTCTCCATGTCTGATGTCAAAGCATTCTTCAGATCTCCAACTCCTTTCTGCTCTGTTGACTGCATACACTTCTTTCTCTTGGGTTGGTTCAATGCCCTGTTATCAGCTTTCCTTGGCAGGTATCCCATGGCTATAGCATCTCCAACATCTTGGGGTCCCTAAGGCAATCCAGGCTTCACCTTCACAGCTCCATGCATTGGCTTCTCTAGGCCCCCATGCAGGGACACTCCTGCCACATGCCTCACCTCAGTGGCTTTCCTTAGTCATGGAGGCAGATTCCATAGCCCCTGTCTTTGATTCTAAAGCCAGAACCACATGGCCAATGCCGCCAAGTTCTACTGTTTGCTGGGGCTGGAACATGGACCCCTTGTTCAATTGCATCTTCACCAGCTTTCTGTTTTCCGTGGTTTCCTTTACTGCCTAAGCTTGGTTGTCCTCGAACTTGCTTTGTAGATCAGGCAAACTCAGAGATCTGCAAGCCTCTGCCTTCTCAGTGCTGGGATTAAAGGCATGTACAACTACACCTGCCTCCTCTTTTGCAGGGTTCCCTAAACCCTAAGGGTAGGGACTTTATGGCAGCATCCCACTTAGGGATTAGTGTTCCAAGTAATTTCACTCTCTGCACACTGTGTTAAGGTCCCATTACTGAAGATAGCACCTACACAACTCATTGAAAACAGAGAAGTCAAACTGGTGTGCTTACCTAGGCCTTCACCTTTATATACCAGAGTTCATGGTACTAGAAGGTACTGTGCACACTGCCAAAGAGAAAAGTAAACACTAATTTAGCTGCAAACTCTTTGATCTACAATGGCAGCCTGCCAGCAAGATGCACTGGTGCATAACCACACAAAGTTTCTGGTAGTAGCCAACCAAGGTCTGATTTAAGGTTCACTCCATGGGATGGAACCAATACACAACACTGCCTGGGTAGCCAAGAACCTGAGACTAGATAGTGAAAAACCAAATACTGCTGTCTTGCAAGGAACATAGCAATAAAATGACTCCTAAGGACATTATGCTGTATTCATAGATCAGTTCCTTGCTCAGCCATCAACAGAGAAACTGCGACAGACAGGAACAAATAACAGTGTTTTCTCATTTGGATGGGAGGGTGGGAGTAGAGGAACTATAGGTATCCTTTACCCAGGAAATGGCTAGATGGGCTACTGAAGGCTAGGACCAAATGAAACAAAGAAGGCTGGTGCTCTTCAAGATGTGGGGTGCCCAGGGGAATGGTTGGGTAAAGACAGAACAGGCTGAAAAGCACCCATTGTGCTAACTCACACTTTGTGAAACTGGAAGCCATTCCTGGCAGGCAGACAGCACATGCTCCTTTCCATCACTCATAAGAATGGGGTCAACTTGCTTAAGTCCATACCTGCCTCCCCTTTCCCCTTTTTTGAGTAAATACAATATATTATGTCAACCCCAAAGATAGTATAATAGAGTGATTTTGTGAGCTACAAAATTGTATTAAAATCTTTATGTCCATCTTGAATCAAGCTCTCAAAATTAGCAATAAGAACCACGTTTCGTACCTTTAGATCCTGAATGGAGGCAAACTCATCATCACCACCATCACTGTCATCATATCATTGTCACCACCACTTCTATCAGGATCAGCATGGAAATTTTGTCAAATGTGACCACCTAAGTTCAAACCTCCAGACCACAAAAGCTGGGACATCTGTCATCTTGCATTCCTGTGATGGAGTGGGAAGCAGAGCCCGGGAGAATCTGCAGAAACTAGATAATTTCTTGTACCTTGAAATATCGTTTATTCACATTAGAAAGCAAGCATTTAAGAATTTTCAGAACAATAGTGTAAATAATCGTAAAATGGAACCTTTTATTATCCTTAAATGTACGGGGTGACAGAAGTCTAAAATGGCCCTTTATAAATGTGCAGAGTGTCTGTTGCACGTGTAAAACATAGGCAGACAGACAAGAGCACACAGACATGTGCAGAGAGAGACTGGAGGAAGACAGCACTGGGCAGTGGCATCTTGAGTGATGGTAATGCAAGTGACTTATGGTCCCATACCTGCAATCATCTTTAGTTTTCATCCTTTCTTTATTGAGTACATAGCATCTTATAATAATCAAGGATTTTTAAAGTAGGTATTAAAATAATTTTAGTATTGAACAGTCCTGGCCAAATGGCTAACAGGTAATTTCTGACTCTATGAGAATGAGTGAGAATGGGCACTCCTGGAATCACAGGCTAGCATGGAGGTTACCATAACCTTACATAAAGTCTTTCAGCCAGGATACCTGTCCAACTGTCTGTTTGACCTCAGACAGACAGCCCCTTTTTATTGATTCATGTGTCCCATGATAGTTGGTTTCAAAACAATTTGTGTAGGCTTCCTCATTCTGCCTTTGGGAGTTTGTCCTTGCTATAGCCTTCTTAATGCCTTCACAGTTCACTACAGCATGCCTCTTCTTGGGGGCAATATCCCTTCTCAAATAACCTAACCAGTTCATCCTGGAAGATCTTACATCCTATATTATCTTGGTTTGCAAACTTGTAAGTGGCCCTCAAAATTACTGCTTTCTGTATCAGGGAATGTTGGCACTAGGTAGTGTTATCTTTATTCACATTACTCAATCTGACAAAAGACCGAAATAAAATTCCTGTTGTGGTGCCAGACCCTGGCTTATGGCTGCCTGCCCACACTGTAAGAGCTGGCCTCCTGCTCCAGGACATAAAAGCACTGCTTGCCTCCTTAACCAGGGCACAGGGGTGTAACTGCTCATTTAGAACCATTTCTGTAGCAGCCATGGCCACCTTCGTGGGGCTCAGTACCAAAGCCAAGATGCCCATCGTGGGCCTGGGCACCTGGCAGGTGAGTGAGCCGTCGTCTTGGGCCACCTGCTGCCTTCGAGGGCCATTTTGGCATTTCTTCTTCTTTGTACAGCATCTGCCCAGAGTTTTGAACTCCAGAGCCGGAGTACCCTCTTTCTCGGGGGTCTCTAGGCTTCAATGCTACTAGAGTGGATTTTGTAGAAACAATGATAGCTTCTATAGCAAGTATCAAGTTGATGCTATATGTAAAACAGAAAATGGTTTCTGGGCAATTCCTCTCTTAGCAAGTTTTTCTGTGGGTCTCAGAAACTTCCTGCATGTTCTAAGTCTTTGCTGTTACTTTGTTTCTGGTTGAGTGATTGAAAGAGGATAAAAATTCTGGAATGACCCAGATCCCTTTGCTGCCCATGGGGAAGGATTCCATCGCAGCATCTGGCCTGGGAGCCTGTGTGAAAGGCAGAGTCTCAGACCCCAGCCCAGGCTACTGAACTGGCCCCTGCCCTTTACCAAGACTCCACCTGGTTCCGGTATACAGTAAAAGCCCAGCACCAGAACCACAGAAAGCCTGGGCTGGCGGCATAGTTTCTGCCTGGCTATATTAATCTGTCCTGGCAAAATGTCCTGAGGTCCATTCTAGTGCCCAGAGAAGCCGATTTCCCAGCCACCTCTGGGACAAGTCTGACATTGTTCCATCTACTAATCCTGCCTTCTTTGCCTTTCCCCCAGCGATAACATGACATTAGCTAGCTTGTTCCCAGGACCTGTCTTTGGTTTTGGTTCCTTGAAACAGGATAACACTCTGCTACCTTGAACTTGGAGCAATCCTTCTGCCACAGTCTCCCCAGTGCTGAGATTACAGGTGGAAGTCACCATGCTTGTCAGGAGCTGATTTTAAAGTCCTTCTTCTCTCCTGTCCCTTGAGGCCCATCTCTGATGGCTTCCTGTTGGCTTCCCCTTCTTACACCCAGTGAGGACTTCTTTTGGGTTGAAATCTTACCAGAATAGCAAGATTTGCTCCAAATCACAATTTCACCTCCATCAACACAGTAAACAATCACGTGCAGAGCTCCGCTACTCACCGGAAGAATCAGCAGAGGTGAACTTGCAGAATCCCAGCAGTGATGTAGAGAGGACTGTACCAGAGTCGTTCTCAGCAGGAGGAGCCGGTGCTGCAGGGAAGGACAGTGTGCCTATCTCTGTGTGTGAAGGAGGGTGAGGCTTGGGCCTGGACCCTCGTGCCTCCCGGATGCCTCTGAGTGGCCGGTGCAATCCTTGTCCTTATGATGGTATAGCTGTTGATCTCTGCTACATATGCTTCTCTACGTTTGACATCTACAGAAAGAGTTTGGAGATTTTTGTGAGAGATGAAATGTTTTTATTTGTCTGAGTTTGTTTTGTTGTTTTGAGACAATGTCACAGAGCTCAAGCTGGCCTTCAACTCATGGTGTGGCTGAGGCTCGCCTTGAACTCCTGATCTTCCTGCCTTCCAAATGCTGATATCATAAGTATGAGCCAATACACATCATATTTGGTTGGGTTCTGTGTGTGTGTGTGTGTGTGTGTGTGTGTGTGTGTGTGTGTGATGTGCCGAGCACAGGTAGGCCTCAAATTCATGCTCTTCTTGCCTCTGCCTCCCTTGTGCTGGGACTCAAGCTTGCACCACTTTATTCTGCTGAGAGGTGACTCCAAAGTTTTTGTTTTCCCAAAGTACTATCTGGATGCTAGGTGAGATCAGACCATGGTATTTCGACATGGCCTTTTCTCTTGTTCTAGTTTCTTCTTTTTTTAATCCATGAAAAAGAATGTCCATTTACTCTTTCTCTTTATGGAACAGTGATTCTCCAATGAATTGTACCTCCTGAATCTTACTATCAGGTGATGTCATAAAATCTTTACAGCAAGCAAGCAACGTGAGGCACCGGCTCTTACTATTCCTACTTGTCAGTCATGGTTTAGAGAGGCTGGGAAGTCTGTTCAGCCTCATACTGATGCATGGTAGAGTTCAGATTCGGCTTGTAGTGCTCATTTTTGAGGTCCTTATAACTGTCTGGGGTCTAAAAATTCCTCTTGGTCACTTCAGAGGTTGGGGAGTTGCAATGTTGGAGCCATCTGCCACTCCCAGAAACTAGAGACCCTTCAAAACCAGTCTGGATTAGAGAAAAAAGTAATAATTTATTCCTAGAATGGGACATGGGATGTTGATCATTACAATGACACATGTACGAAGGTGCCATGATGAAGCCCAGCACTTCATAGCTAACCTAAAATAATCAGTTCACTTTTCCTTTTCCTTGAAAAGTTTTCCAGCCTATGTTTTTCTCCCCAGTGTCTACTTGGAAATGGGGCCTCAGTGGGGCTGTGGTTTTGAGAATCTGGTCCACATGGAGCCTTTAAGAGGGGACGGGCCTTGGGAGTATCTGTTTTTTCTCCTGTTTTCTAGTCTCCTCCAGGGAGAGTCAAGGAAGCCGTGAAGGCCGCCATTGACGCCGGGTATCGCCACATTGACTGTGCGTACCTCTATGAGAACGAGAGTGAAGTGGGAGACGGGATTAGAGAGAAGCTCCAGGAGGAGGCTGTGAAGCGGGAGGACCTCTTCATCGTCAGCAAGGTGCGGTGGCCGGCTTGGTGACTGTGTCTTCAAGGCAGGCGGGAGATCCGGCCGCACCAAGAGCCCTGTCCATCTTTTTCGTGTGGCTGTATTTCTTTAACCCCCTTCTCCCTTGGTCTTCGTATCCCTGTATGTAGATATCCACACGCCAAGACAGTCCTGGGAGAAGATGCTGCTGGCCCCCAACCCTTGTTGTTTTTCCTGTGGTGGGAACGGCTCCAATGAGTCTCTTGGTGCCCTTGGCCTCTCTGTCTTCTCTTAGTAGAGTCCATCTGCTAAGTGGTAGGCAGAGGGGGTACGTGCAGGCTGAACTCCAGCCCACACTGCCTAGTGCTGTGTTGAACAGCTCTGGCCCCGAGGGTTTTTTCAGACAAGGGCATTTTGGAAATGGTAGGAGCATTATTTATTGTCAACAGGAATCTCTTTATTTCAGTTCAGTAAAAGGTGAACTGTTAAAATATTATTAAAAAGAAGGGAGTGGGTGTGTGAGGGATCCTAGGCTTTGAATTGGATGTAACTCGCCCAAACAGGCTAGTTCTAGGTACTTGGAAATTGCGTAATACGTAGACCCACTGTGGGGATTGGCCACATCTGGATAAACTTGTACTTCATCACTTGAACCCAACAGGCTTCAGGTTGTGGGGGTACAAAAAGGGACAACTTCTCCATAGCATCGGGATGCTTGAAATTTAAGGACTAGTCACAATGCTTTCCCTCTAGGAGGTGACAGCCAAGGAAAGGAATAATACAGGAACAAACATATTTAACCAAAGGCCAAATGTGCTAACGGATTTAAGAAACAGAATACTAAGAGCGTGGAAGAACACGTACGCATGACTTCGACCTTCTGTGTTGCCTTTCTTAACTAACTTTATTATAAACCAATGGCCTGTCCTGGGGTTTGATCAGCTGCAAATCTCAAAGCAGGGAGAGCGACTGTGGTGTGGCCCTTTTTCTCCAAATTCCTCATGCCTCCTTGTCACCTGCAGCTGTGGCCCACCTTCTTTGAGAAAGGCCTGGTGAAGAAATGCTTCCAGAAAACCCTCTCGGATCTGAAACTGGACTATCTGGACCTGTATCTAGTTCACTGGCCGCAGGGATTCCAGGTTAGAGCTGCTCTCTGCCTCATCTGTAGCTGTTGAGCAAATGCCAGAAAACTAGCAGCTGAGCCTGAGCTGAGGGAGGGCGGTAGTGCGGAGGCAGGAGCTCTCACACAGAGTACTCTGGCCCAGAAGGGAGTCTGTGTCAACAAGGTGCATGGGGACGCCACATGCTCAGGTTTCACTTTAATTCTATTTTAGAGAAGCTGTGATTCCTGCCAGCCCAGATAAATATGACTGGCCTGTCACCTTCCTATCTTCTCCTTGCCCAATGGTCTCTCCTAGGGCATCTCATAGGATAGTCTGACATAGCGTTATTAGGGCTCGACACTCCTGCTAGTCCTAGTGTACTCATGGGTTGGCAGCCTGTTGATGCTGGGAGGCCGCCAACCTACCCTGGAAAGCTGCCACTCAGTGCCGGGGGCCTCCTCCTGCCTGCTCTCAAGAGCTTGGAGGAAGTGAAATTCTTAATCTTCCCCCCCCCAAGACCAGCTATGGTGTTGGTGGCATGCCACCCCAAATTCAATCTTTCCTCAGGGTGCAACAATAGGTGCTGGCTGCCGCTATACCCTTGCTATTTAATGTTTGCCTAATTACCCTAAATTAAAATTCCCTCCAAGTTTATGGGCGTCTTGGTACGTTGGGTTAATTTTCATGGTGACAATGATGGCTTCTGCAATATCCTACCAGCCGATTGCAAAACCGAGCCAGCAGTGTCAGATATAAAGGATTTACATGTTGTGGTAGGCTGAGCAGAGATGGGTCTTGAAGTGTGTTCTCCAGAGCTTGACCAGATGCCGTGCAGGGGTGGGGGGTTGTTGCTTCTCTGTCCTGAGATCTCTCTTCACAGGAATGGTTATCTACAAGCAGATTCCAATGGGTTTGTGGTTTTTGCATTACAGCCTGGGAAGGAGTTTTTCCCCACAGACGATAAAGGCAATATTCTTACCAGTAAATACACATTCCTGGATGCTTGGGAGGTAGGTTCTAATTTCTTTAAAGCCCGCTCAGAGAGAAAAAATTTGTTAGATACCCATTGTCTCCACCCTGGAATAGCAGCCTTGTATGGGATCTCATCACTGAATTCTCCATTCTCTCATTATACTTTACGCATCACTAAATGGATTGGGGTTCCCTATGACACTATTTATGTTGAGATCTAAGTGAGGCAGGAAATACAGAGCATTACAATTTGATACAAGCATGCTGGACTGGAAACAGAGGGATACACTGGGCACTTGGAATAATTGGGCAACCTAGAGTGAAAATTGAACTTCTGTAGGTCTCAGTGTCCATTGTCATTTAAAAAAATCATAATATATGATAATAATAATGCATATTATTAGGGTGTGACAAGGATGAAAATAGTTAACATGCAGAAACTTAATCAAAGAGCTCATTGGTCATTAGCTCTACAAAGGGAATGTTGCTTCCCCATGTAGAGATAGAATCCTAACCTAAATGATTGGTAAGTTGTCATCTTATAAAGAAAACGTGTGACACAATCAGGACTGGATCCAGATCTATGTGACCCAAGTCCAGCAGGCTTGGAACATCCTGCTTGGCAGTGAATATACAGGCAGACATCAGAGAACACACTGGCCTGCTTTTTAGGTCAGTCAAGGCATTGACCTGCATAATCATGTAAAAATCAAGTAAAGCATGGTTGTTTTTCTCTAGTAACTTTTCCCACTATATGAGTTAGGGTTACTATTGCTATGATGAACCACCATGACCAAAGCAACTTACACTTCCACAGCACTGTTCATCACTAAAGGAAGTCAGGACAGGAACTCAAACAGGGCAGGAACCTGGAGGCAGGAACTGATTCAGAGACCATGGCAGGGGTGCTGCCTACTGGCTTGCTTCCCATGACTTCCTCAACCTGCTTCCTTATAGAACCCAGGACCACCTGCCCAGGGATGGCTCCACCCACCATGGGCTGAGCCCTCCCTCGTCAATCACTAATTAAGGAAATGCTCTACAGGCTTGCCTACCGCCCAGTCTTATGGAGGCGTTTTCTCAACTGAGGTCTCCTCTCTGATGACTTTAGCGTGTATCAAGTTGACATAAAACAACCCAGCACAGTCACTATCCTCTTGTAAATGCTTAAAAGGTGGGACAGAGTGAATGAACAAGTCATAAAGGGTTAGAAAAATCAGACTCCAAGAATTAGCATGCTGTTTGTCAGGCGGTCCCGAACTGTCTTGTGCTCATACTCTAGGAAGCTTGCCATCTTTGGAGAGATTGGAATTGACAAAATGAGATGTAGCTTTTGCCCAGTTTGCCCCCAAAGTGCTTATCTACCAGCACAGCCACTTTGAGCTTTAACTGGTCGTGGTAAGAAAATGTAGAGAGAGCAAACCCCATGTGATAACTGAGGGTAAAGGCAGAAAAGCCGGGCAGCCTTTCTGCGCCCGGGCAAGGCTGGAAACCCTGGTGTTGAGGAATACAGTCCTGGGGGCATGGCCTGCCTGCTGTCGTGAAGTTAGGTTGTGATTACCTGCACTGGATGTTCACAAACTGCTAGGGAATGAGTCTTTTTTATTCGTGGATATAGTCATTCCTAAACTGACCATGTTTCTTAAGTAATCCAATTAAACTCACTGTTTCAAGAACTAGACTTTGGTAGAACTGTTTCTTTGGTCTGTTTGTCATTGCTACCCCATCTGGGGTGAATAGATGTTTGTTCATCTACTCCGTGGTGGTTAACACAACATCTGGAGATGTATTTAAAGGAGTTATTCTGTTGTGCCCAAGTTGACAGAGACCACCAGGAAGACAAACCCACTAAACTGCAGAAGCAAAGTTTAATGATTGTTCATCCACCCGTGACAGGTACCCCGTCTGGCTAGCTGTCACAGCAGCCCCCAGAGGGAGTGAAGTTCCCTGTCCACTGCTAGGTTTTATAGACAAAAGTCACAGGATTACATCAGTAGGTACGGGGTGGTTTCTGATTGGTTGACATTTGGGAGCAATCAGGAGAATTTCTCAAAGTCATGTTTTGGCATGAAATACCTGTGTAGCAATTATTTTCATTGGTCATTGCTGAGAGGGAACATTCTGTGGTTTCTATGGTATTGTCTTGTTACTTGCAGGTGGCCTCTTGCACGCAGATACCACTAGTTTTCAGAGCTATATCCTGGAGACTACAGGGGAGGTTTTGGTCTCTCATGGAGTTTCTTTTGTGGCCAAACAGTTCCCAGGAACCAAGCATCTAGGAGGCTGGGGGGGAGGGGTGTCTGGAGTTTCTTTGTGTTCAGTTTTGGCCCTAGACTCTGGGAGGCCAGAGTATCTGGAGTTTCCTTGTTTCAGAGGCCTATGTGTCTTTTCTGTAGCCTGTCATGGCTGCTAAAGCAGGGACTGAGTGAGGGTCTGGTCCCTTTATTTCTAAATTATCAGAAGTGAAGCCTTTGAGTTTAGTTTACCCCTTTCAATCCTTGGCAAGTGAATCATTAAATTTGCCACTAGCAGCAGAACATTTGTTACAAGGAATGTGGAGGGATGGGAACAGAGGCTCGGAGGTTAGTTCTGATAGAATGCTTGTAGAGCAAGTCCAAGGTCCTGGGTTTAAATAAACAAAAGCATTCTTTTAATACTTGGGTTTATATGGCTGGGTCTTCAAGACTGGATGAGGCTTCTGGAGTTAATGTAAATGGAAAAAATTAACCCCCAAACTACAACAGGGAGGCTCTGTAAGATTACCTCACTTGGTTGATACTTAGCAAATAATAGAATATGCACACAGAATCAACAATGTTGTAGTGTGTGCACCAACACTCACTGATAGCCTGATTTCATTGTTCATTTTTGCAGTGAGTTGAGGGTACTAATTAGATAAGATGGAAACTGTATATATTACTAGATTAAAACATGGTCTCTTAAATATCTTCTTAATTGTTCATTCCATAACATTTTCACCATAGCTCTTAAAATGATGTCATACTAAGATGGAGTTCTGCCACAGCATCTTACACTAGCTCTAATTTGCTGTCTTGTGAATAAATCCAAGAATAATTCCTAAATAAAAGCTTTACAGAGATAAAAAAGATACTATACTGCTCTGATTTGATCTTGGCCAGATTGAATATGCCTGGACAGGGACTCTCCAATAGAGAGTCCGTTGGTCACAATCTATAACAGAGTAAGGGAAGAGAGTGTAAAGAAGGAAAAATAGATCATACACACACCAGGTCACAGAGTAGCATTTATCTTATTTCCCACTGGGAAGATGCTGGGACCTTCAGATCTCATCAATGCTAAACTGTCTTGCTAGTGAAGTCTCCCTCACTGCTCATTTACCGAAGGGTTTCTCAACTTGGTACATTAAAGTCTGAAGAGGGCATTTTGAATATCCTAATGTCCATGCTGTATCCCAAAGGAAATCAGTAAGAAGCCCTGGGAGTGGAGTCTAGATACCTGTAGAACAACAAATAAAAGACTCAGAGACAGATATGGGATTCAAGCTTCAAGCTAAAGATCAGAAAAGCAAAGCAGCTGGCCACTAGCTCTCACTCTACCTCAGACTGAAATGCTATCCTGGCTCGACCGAAGCCTCTTCTCAGTGTGGCTGGAGAATCCTGAGACTTTAATGTCTTCCTATCCTCAGTGTGGCTGGAGAATGAATGCCAGCTCTGAGACCCTGTTCCTGTTTTAAATACCCCTCATGAGCCCTGGGATTAAAGGTGTGTGATCCCAAGTGCTGAGATCATCTTTGTGTGAGCTGTTTTTCTTTAGGACAGGATGTATTTCTTGTAACACAGTGTGGCCTTGAACTAACAGAGATCTGTCTACCTCTTAATCCTGAGTCCTGGGATGGAAGGTGTGTATCACCACTGCCTGATCTCTAGAGCTTGAGGCTGGCTTTGCTTTCTCAATAGGCAAGCTTTAATAAATCATAAATAGTATATCACCACAGACACCCATTTCCTTTAGAGCCTTCATAGAGTTCAAGATGCAGCCAAGATTGAGAAACAATAGACAAGGTGTCAGCTGAACACACCCTGCTCACCCCACCTCTAATCCTTTGCTCCCCCCCACATCTGTTCATGATTTTACCATCTTTTTTTCATGATATTTTTCTATGCCCAGTTTGACCTCTACTCCTAATGTCTCCCCTGGATCTCCCCTGGGATCCTTGGTCCTTGAAGCTGTGTCAACTGTCAACTGAGCTGAGGTGGAGGGGTACCCCAGAACTTTAATTAAAATTAGAATCTTAAGTGGTGGCACACCCCTTTAATCCCAGGACTCCAGAGGTGGAATGCTACAAATTCAAGGTCAACCTGGTCTATATAATGAGACTCTGGGGTCGGGAGGAGAACCTCAAGCTGCAAACACATTGCTTACTTTTGCATTCTAGAAACTTCCAACAGGAATGTATAATAAACAAAATATAACTGTGTGCTCAATTTGTGGTTGCCAAATAGACAAAAAAATAATAAACCCTAGGTCTTTGAGGTTGAAGCAGCTTTTGTAGGACAAGCTGTCAATGGGACAGCTTTCAGCTCCAATTCAGTTCTAGGCCAGGTTCTCCTACCGTGGCCAGTATATCCACATGGAATTCCCCACTGCATACATAACTGTGGCTGTGAAGGAAGAAAGATCTTAGAACCTAGACTAACAGCTGGTCCTGATGATTCAGGACTATAATCCTAGACAAGCTGGAGACAGAGGCAGGAGGATCACAAGTTCAAATCCTGGCTGAACACTGCAGGGTAAGTTTGCTGGGACGGAAACACGGTGACCATTTACAACTCTCAGGTCACCTTCTATGCTGAGGGAAGTCAGGGCAGGAACCTGGAGGCAGGAATGGATGCCAAGGCCATAGAGCAGAGCTGCTTGCCGGTTTGCTCAGCCTGCTTTCTATTTTCCCTAGGGCCACCTGCCCAGGTCTCATGCCACCAACAATGGGCTGGGTCCTCGCTCCCACATCAGTCACTAATTAAGACAATGCCCTGCAGACTTGCCCACGGGCAACTCTTATGGAGACAATTTTTTAATTGAGTCACTCCAGCTTTTGTCAAACTGACATAAAACTTGCCATCACAAAGGTCAAGGCACAGTCTAGGTAGAGAGATGTGTTACTGAAAGGAAAAGTGTCAGCTCAGGATCTCCAAGACCAAGGTCTCAGACCATGTTCTCAGCACAAAGGAGATTTATTTTCTCTGAGGAACAGAGGGCTAGGGAATAAGAGACAAAGACAGGAGATAGAGGACCAAAGAGAAGGGGAAGGAAATAAGGGAAAGGGGACAGGGGTATTTGTTGGTGTGTGTGTGTGTGTGTGTGTGTGTGTGTGTGTGTGTGTGTGTGTGTGTGTGTGAGACAAAGGACTACTTCTGGATAGCAGTTTATAAAGGTACAAGGGAAACCCCAAATAAAGGAATAGGCCTTGGTGGCTAGCCTTAGGAATATAATTTAATGGTTTTTAGCAAGGCAGAGAGAAAGAGGGAGAAGAACAAGGCCTGACAGAGCCATGCTGGCCACACTAGAACTGGCCAGAGTCCTTCAATCACGGAATTCAAAAGTGGGCCAGGAACACAGCTCAGCGGTAGAGTGTCTATTTAGTATGTGAGAGACCCTAGGTTTCACAACCCTCAATAGCAGAAAACAACTAATTTTAGAAGATATCCCACAGAAGTGATGCCATTCCACAGACTAGAACCTTCTTCGTGAATGACCCAGGTTTGGATGCACAGAGAGCAGAAAGCATTCGAAACCTTCACATATTTCACATTATTTGAGCTTGGGTAGTGGGGCTCGGAACATCCAGAGGGCACCATGGACCAACACTTGCTTCTAGTGCTTTAACTAAGCCTGTAATGGTGGATTCGCTGCAAAGTTACCACTATCCTGTATCATCGTGAAGCTGAGCCAGCGTCCCTGTGTCCTGCTACAGCCATCTAAATGGTCTTCCTTACTGTAACAGGTCATGGAGGAACTGGTGGACCAGGGGCTGGTGAAAGCCCTGGGCGTCTCCAACTTCAACCACTTGCAGATCGAAAGGCTCCTGAACAAGCCTGGCCTCAAACATAAGCCAGTGACCAACCAGGTAAGTTCGCCTTGGTGAAAGAGTTTTGCTTCATGACTGCTTCGACATTGAGAACCAATGGACTGAGCTGTCTTCCGGGGATCAGCGTTCAGGATGCTCAGTGAGGTGGGAGGCAGACCTGGGTCTGGTCTACAGCGCATCTATGGGTGGGTTGTTGTATTTGGCCTCTGCGTTGGTCGTTTCTTGTGTCTAGGGTTCCCTCTGAGCCACTCAGGAAGGACTGCTTCCCTCGTGACGAAAGTGACAGAGGTGTTTTCTCTTGCAGGTCGAGTGTCACCCGTACCTCACTCAGGAGAAACTGATCCAGTACTGTCACTCCAAGGGTATCACTGTCACAGCCTACAGCCCCCTGGGCTCTCCAGCTAGGCCTTGGTGAGGCTTCAGAGTGGTGACTTTCTTTTATCACCCAAAATTCATGTTTCATAATTGGTTAATACTGCTATGAATTTCTAAGGCATCTGACAAAATGTGTCTATAGCAATGTGTGTGGCAGTAGTTGGGGGAGGAAGAGAGGGAAAAGGGAGAGAGAGATAGGGAGATAGAGATAGATAGAGATAGAGAGAGAGAGAGAGAGAGAGAGAGAGAGAGAGAGAGAGAGAGAGAGAGAGAGAGAGAGAGAATATCTGATTCTGGCAATGTTCCATTTCTGCCAGGTCCTCAGACTGGTAAAGCTCTTGAACCTATGGACAGGTCCATGGGAAAGATAAAACTTCTCAGGTCCTCCTGGTTGCCTTGGGAACCAGGTTCATCTCTGACACCATCCTGGTAATGATATTCACTGTGATTATATTCACTCCAGCTGTCTTTCCTCATTTAGGGCCAAGCCAGGGGACCCTTCACTCCTAGAGGACCCCCAAATTAAGGAGATAGCTGCAAAGCACAAGAAAACCCCAGCCCAGGTAAAATACTGTGGTTGGATTTTATTCCCCCCCCCATTCTCCAGCAATCCCTCTTACTAGTCTTGGTTTATTATGTCACCTGCTTTTAATCCCTTGGGGAAGAAGAAATGGGAAATGGGAGTCTGCTGGGATGTCCCGGAAGTACATCTGGTATCAGTGAAGCCAGGACTGCCTGTATCCATCAGCTTCTTGTCATGTCCCCAGGCCGTACCTCGAGAACATGTCAGTGGGTCTGGGTACCAACTGCGCATGGTCTTGGTCTTTTGAACACTAGTTTCCCCATTCCTAACTAGGGAAATTGTGGTATTGTTTCCAGGATCGAGGACACGAGGGGCAGAGCTACCAAGTGTTCCTAATGGTGAAATCCTTAGTTAATTTTTACCTGTTACAGCTAAAGCTGTAAGTAGCCACAGATGTGTTTCCCTTGCCCTAGGAGAGACTCTTATAGGTGGACATCTGATATCTCCTCAATGCGCACAGGTTCTGATTCGGTTCCACATCCAGAGGAATGTGGCTGTCATCCCCAAGTCTGTGACACCAGCGCGTATACGTGAGAACTTCCAGGTAATATCTGAGATGATCATCTGCTATTCCTCGGGGGAGACAGGGGGCCCCTGTCCTTAAGCTTCTCATTGAATCCCTGTTTTGCTAGTGTGTCCTTCCATCTTGTGGACTCTTGTCCCGGGGAGCTGGCCTCAACAGATGTGATGGCTATTCTCGGTTGTCAACTTGACTACATCGGAATGAACTACAATCCAGAAATGGAAGGCACACCTGTGAGAGATTATTTTTGCTTGCTGTGAAGCGAATGGATCCACTTCTAGTCCAGACCTTTGAGGCAGGAAAACTCAGGCTTTCGATTTGGATCTTAAAACAGGAAGACACTAATCTGGGCCACCCCTTCTGCTGGAAGACTTGGAAGAAGGAAGCTTTTTCTCTTTGTCTGCTTGCCCTCACCTTGCTAGCACATCCGTTTCTTTTCTGGCACTGGAACTTTCTTCTTTGGGATTCCGGCATGTACTAGAGACCAGTGGAGACACCCAGCCTTTTCATTATTAAGAGTAGCCATGATTGTGGTGTTGCTTCACAGCAACAGAACACTGACCGAGGCAACAGAATTGGATGAATCACCATTTAGCAAAGATAGGCAGGGGACAGGGACTAGAAACAGTACCTTTTAGCATTGTAAATAGTCCTGCTTACCAGTGAACACTCAGATCATGGGCCATAGACTGTTCTACCCATGCACAGACTGTTCTGGCGTATACAACCCACCTGCTTGCAGGAGAAGATGAGTGGGCTAAATTTGAAGAAATGCCCACTGGAAGACTGCCCCAGCCAGCAGGGCACAACGGGTTCAAACTCACGGGAACCTGGAATGAAAGAGACAAGAGAGAAATGGCAGCAAGACAGACCTTCCAATCAAGCTGCCGTTTAATGAGAATTCTGTACAGGCTTAAATAGGGGAAATGAGGTAGGGGGATGCAGGACAATAAGGGAGGGGTCGGTGTCTAGTAATCGGCTCAGGAGTGTTCTTGGTCATGTACCCAGGAGTGTGTTTTTGGTCACGTTCAAGGAGTGCTGGCAGACCACCACTGAGGCTAAGCAGCGGGAATGAAGAGGTGTTAGTGCTAAGTAGCCTAATTACAAGGAGGAATTGAGTAACCTAACTGTAGATTGCTATCAGCTACTCCCGTGAGCCCAGGTTCTATTCATTAGGAAGCTGGGGAGGAGACTATTCTTAAAAAAGATCGACTATTTACAAGAGGTTTTAAATAACAATTGCTCCCTACAGAGGACTACTATTCAGGTGTCCCTCGGGGATCACAGTCTCTCTCCAGTAAGCATAGCTGCAAACGCAGTCTCCCTCCTTTTGAAGTACTAGACCCTACAAGCAATCCAGGCTTAATTTACAGAACAGTTTGCATGCAACGTGGACCTAATGGGAGAAACAGTAGAACCTCAGGTCTCACTAGCACTTTCCTTGCTAACGATGTTTTTTGGAACTCTCGCTTTTCTAGGTCTTTGACTTCAAGCTGAGTGATGAAGAGATGGCCACCATTCTCAGCTTCAACAGAAACTGGAGGGTCTGTTCCCTGCCTATGTAAGTGGCGCTGGGTTTAGGAGGATGATCAGGAATTTTACTAAAGTTGTGCAGGGTCAGCTCAAAAAACAACAAGGCACGTGGGATGACTATTTTCAGGCAGTTGTGAAAAATTAAAACTTGAGGAAAACCTTTGTTTCCCAAACTTTGCAAATAGAGAAAAGGTATGCTATTCCATGGTAGGAGACAAGGATAGCTGAAGTAACATCACATGCATATGTCAGAGAGTAACAGATGACGTAGAGAAAAACCAAAAGTAGGACAAAAGGCATAAGAATTAATGGATCCTGCTAGAACTGATACTTTCGTCATATGTGATGACCCAGGGGCAGTTTTGCTGAATACAGCAGGATTCTTGGTGCTGAGAGCAGCAGGTGCAAACGCACCAGGTATGTATGGGGTGAGGGATAAAGTACTTGAGTAAGGAGGCCAATGACGCCAGAACCAAATAGACAAGGCTACTGCAGGAAGAAATAAGCTTAGCGACAGCCTTGGGCTAAGGACACAAAGGTGGTACAGAGCGTGGGAAGGACTTTGACTTTAGCTCTTCAGGAGCTCAGAATACAGGAGAGGATTTTGTGAGGTTTGTATATCTCATAATCTCATAGGTTGGAATAATAAAGTGACTTTTTGTACTTAGAAATTACAGGGAGAATAGTAGAATAATCTAGGGAAGAGATTGGACCCACTTCATAGTATGGTAGGAAATTGGATTCTGGATAAATGGGAAAATAGAGCAAATTGAATTTGCTAACACAACAATCAAATGTTGATTTTGTGGCTTTATTTTTGCTTGAGCAACTCAAGAGCAGAATTGTCATTTAGAAGTAGTCATGCTTATGATACCTGTTGAGCATCGAATAGGGAATACCAGCTGGAGTGGGATTTATGGGTGCAAGTCATAGGTTGATAATAAGTCTCACCTTGCTGGCTTCCAATCCAAGCTCTGCCACTTACTCATTGTCTGTGAAGCACCGAGTAGATTTGGTAACCTCACCAAATTGTTTTCTTTTTCTTACAAAGTAGTGATGACAGTACAAATAAGAGAAAACATTCACTGAATATTTAGGATCCTAAACTCTTTGCTTATATTAGCATTTTAACACAATAACCTATCTGCCAATTTCACCATGATTCCCTACTTTACAATGATGTGGGAATGAACCAAAACAGGATTTGTGAGGCCCTTGGTTGTGTGCCAGGTTTCATTATGGCATTATTCTAAGGACTTGGCCAATGATTATTCCCTTGCCCCCTTTCCTTCAAATACTAATTTGAGGGAAGGTCGTAGTATGGGTACCCTTCTGTGTTCCCATGGTCCTGTGAGGGAGGAGGCTAAGAGAGCGGAAAGGTTGTTGAGTGCATCACATAATATTGTCTATGAGATCACATTTGTGACTTCTGTGGAACGCTGTCTTCTGTGTGCATGTTGCTGCAGGACAATTAATGCGGAGGACTACCCTTTCCATGTGAACTACTGAAGCATCATCGACTGAGAAGAGTGTCTCATGGATTCTCTTTGCCAATGTGCAAAGTCCTCCTGAGAAGTATTTAAGTTAAGGCTGTTTGATATCATATCACATTGTATCACATTGTATCGTATCATATCATCATATCATCAAGCAGGTCTTGATGTTGGCCAAATCAAGGCAATGCCGTATTCAAATCCTCATTGTTCAACCAGGAGCAGACTACTTTGGGGAAATGTGACACAAAGAAGGGAACTGTACTCTCTCGAATATAATTTGATGTGCTTGTCAAACACCAGTAGCCATGGTAACACTGAAAGTACAAAGATGAAATAATAAAAGTAATAATAGTAATCAACATGTCCAACACAGTTTGATGTATTCTTTGAATGAGTGCCCTTATTGAGTCCAGATCTTACCATTCACATTTCACTTGGCAAATAATAGAGCATAGGGAGGCAAAGCACTTGCTCATAGTCACCCAGGTAGTAAGTGGCTAAGGCAAATGTCAAAGGCAGGTGCTCTCACGGAGAGCTCAAGTCGATGCTGCTTTCTTCCTCCCACATCCTCTCCTGTTCCTGTCCTTTCCCTGTGACCTTCTCAACTATTGTTGCTTTCCCACCTTGCCTTAAGTGTGCCAGCATGCCGAAGAGTGCATGCTGGTGGTGGCCAAGCCTATGAAACCCACAGTCACCACTATGCATTGGGAAACTTTTATGCAACCCCAGGAATGCAGCGGGAAACAGAAGCGAGTCTGGAAGTGAAAATACCACTGACTTCTGTCTTAGTTAAGGTTTCTATTGTTGTGAAGAGACATGGCGACCACGGCAACTCTTATAAAGGAAAGCATCTAATTGGGGCTGGCTTACAGTTACAGAGGGTTAGTCCGTTATTGTAATGAAGAGAAGCATGGCAGTGTGTAGGCAGATGTGGTGTTGGAGAAGGAACCAAGAGTTCTACATCCAGATCAGCAAGCAGCAGGAAGAGAAACTGAGCCAGTAGGCCTGGCTTGAGCTTCTGAGACCTCAAAGCTTACCCCTCCTCCAACAAAAGAACACACCTCCTCCAACAAAGCCACACCTCCTCCAACAAAGCCACACCTACCCCAACAAAGCCACACCTACTCCAAAAAGGCCACACCTCCTAATGATGCCACTCCAATTGGGCCTATGGGGACCATTTTTATTCAAACCACCTCACCATCAATCTGGGACATGCCTTTTTTCTATAGTATTTATTTCTTCTTAGGAAACATTCCAATCATTCAGAAATGTATAGAGAGAACACGGTGGGTGTCCAGTAACCCATCTTACAAATTTACCATGGTAATATTTGGCAAGGTTTGCTCCAAATGCTTTGAAAAAGAAACTGATTCAAGGACTAAGTGACAGCCAGTGCAGTTAGTATCACTCAGTACCTTTCTCCATCCCAAAGCCAGTGTCTGTTCTCAGACAGCTGAGCCATCTGCTGCTGCTCACAGTCCTACTCGCTCTCAGGGAGACTTCCTGTCCTCTCTTTCCCCATGGGGTGCATGATGGTTGGTGACAGGTGGTCACCTACATTTCCAGGCCTCCTAATCAGATGGCTTCCCCTGGGATTGCTCAGTGGGGGCTTCTATTAGGAGGTTGAAGATCTGCAGAAAGAGAAAGGAAGCTGTTTCTTGAGTGGTATTTCAGTAGAAATAACATTTTCCCACCTAACCCCAGCTTGAAGCTAATTGATTCTGAGTCCTACCAGCTGACACCACTCTGGGGGTGGAGATCCCCCTTCCTCTTGTATCGTCTCATCTCTAGGTGTGGTGGTCTCTTCCTGCTGCTGCTAACCTTGGAATTACCTCCCACTCTTGTTTGATATCCCAGCTCTTCCACCAAGGTTGCAGAAGGGTGGAGCTTGCTTTTGAGGTTTTGATGGTGTCTTCTTTGACTCTCCCCAATGTCTGGAGATTGCTGGGATACCTGTGGCTCTGCTTTGAAGCTGCTGGACTTACTTCTCCCTCTGCCTCTCCATGGTGTGTTTATAGGGACCACCAGCCATCGGATTCATGACCTACTTTCACCCAGCATGCCCTAACTCTAGTTGCAAAGATCCTTTCTTTGAATGAATCTCATTCTGAGGTCTGGACAGACACAGACTTTTGGTAACACCATTCATATGTGTGATGTATTGCAATGCCCTTATTTGAGTGCTCCATGCTTCTAAAAGCATATTTGTGTACCTTTAAAAAAAATAAGCATGTATCTTTACATTCATTTGTCCCTCACTCAGAGGGGCTGAGGTTCCCCCGGAACTGGAGCTACAGTCAGTTGGAAGCACTGTGTAGATGCTGGGAATTGAACTGGAGCCCTCTAGAAAGGCAACCAGAACTCTTAACCACTGAGCCATCTCTGTAGCCCTATGCTTCCTTTTATTTTCAGCACATCCCAGTATATTCACCTCAATCAGTAATACAAAAGTAGAATACGTTAGCAGATTAAGTAGAATAAGGATGAAAATACTTGTTCATTTTTTTGGCATTTCCATTGTTCTAGAAAAACAAAACACATTTGCAGGTATGAGCCTCAAAACATGTGCGATTCTGCACATGAGTTAAATGTTTATTATACTTGTACATTTAATATAATTGCTACATAATAAAAGAGGCATAGTACAATTAAATATTATTATATAATAGATGCATGCCAGGACCCACCATGGTCTAAAAACACTATTGACAGTTGATGGCTACTGAGGGAGATATGGCTCGCTCCCATGGGTGTTCCCACACTCACGTACATGTAGGCACCGCTGACTGGATTCAGCATGTTGAACAACAACAACAAAAAGTAGAAAATGAAGCCAGGAAAGAGGCATATTCCAGAGGGTGCCCAGTAAGTGTTGGAGAGGGAAGTGGGGTGAATATGATCCTAACATATCATATATACCTATGACATTTTCAAAGAATAAACAAACAATAAGAAGAAGTATAGACATAAATAGTTGCATAACTGTAGATATATCCCTGTCATTTCCATTAAAAGAAAGTAAAATGTTGGGAGGCTGGGATGGGAGGATTTCTGTGAGTTTGAGGCAAGCCTAAGCTTCACAGTGAGTTCTGGGCCAACTGGGACTATATAATGAGAACCTTTGTCAAAGGGAGAAAAGAGGCGAAGGAAGAAGAGGAAGAGGAAGAGGAAGATGAGGAAAGAAGCTAGAATTACATGGGAAAACTGTGGGAACACCAGACCTTGTTCAGAGATCCACTTCCCCATCAGCCTGGGAGTAGGCAGCTGTAAGACAATGTTTACTAAAAACATGTTTACTAAAAACAATACAATGCCCAGGGCAATAAGTTCCTGAAAAGGGCTGGCCCACAGGAACCTCCCTGACCTCGACCTTGTCCAAAGGCTAACCACCTCTTCTGACACACCCAGATCAGTTTTTGGTGTCAGAGCAGAACCAGCCAGGGGTAGAGAGAAAGCAGAAGCTTTTCTGGAGGGAGGCCTTTCTTGGGAAGTTTTCTTGAGCCTTTTTGGGGCCTGCTTAAAGTTTTCTTTACATCGTTGAACAAGTCTCTGTGTTGTCAATCCCTGACACCCTCCGCACGTTCTCGGACACAGGCTGCGCAGTGAACGCGGCAGGAAAACATCTTTTCTAGAATTGAAGCAGGGAAAGAAAACCGTGTATAGCTTTTTTAGCCAGAAAGTAAGAGAGTGTTGAGCAGATGATGGTGTCCACTTTAAAGGGTTCAAAGCCCAACTCAAACAAGGCATTCAGATTGATAACACTAATGGATAATAATTCTTGAATAAGATAAGATTTATAAAAACTCACTAAAATGAAAAAAAATGAGAATAGAAAACTCTTCCTTGAGTATTTTGTTACCCAAATCTGTGTAGAGGAGACGACAGTTAGAAAAGCCCCATGTTGATAATATTAGCAACTAATCTACTCAACAGCAGTGGATGTTTAAACTAGTAAGCAAATGTTTGGTGAACAAATGAATGTCTGCCTGTCACTTATCAGTTGCTTATACTTCTTCCTTATTTAATTACTAAAGGAAAACAACAGAGGAATCTGATAGAGACCTACTATTAGTTTTTTGTTGATACGTATTAAAGCATCACACACTTCACAGCTTGAAATAACATGCATTAATGGTATCTAAAGTCTCTAGATCAGACATGAGGCAGATTTAGTCACGATTTCTTAGGTCTTCTAAGCTAAAATCAAAGTCCCAGCCAGGCTGGATTCTTCTCTGGAGTCTTTTGAGTAAGGGATTCCACCTTGCAGTTTCATTCACGTTATTGGTAGGGTTTGGTTCCGTATATTTGTGGGACTTGGATCCCTGTTCTTTGCAGGCTGTCATCTGGGGACATATGCCATCCCTTGTGGTTAAGTGTTTTTCTGCTCTGGTCTTTACTGAGACAAATCTGAACCTCCTTGGAGTTGAAGCTCAACCACACTTTAAATCTTGTGTTTTCTTCTGGAACTGGCCAGACAAAATGCTGTGTTTTTAAAGAGGTAGTTTATTTAGATCAGGCCTTCCTGAATAACCATCCCTTTACCACGTAAGAATGCAATCACAGACATGAGGTCTCAGGGCCATCTTACAGTTCTGCTCCTCACACTACTGTAGTCAATCACATTATCAATTTAACATTTCCAGGGACAGGACAAACTGAAGTCACCTACGAGGATGCAGCGAGAACTGGCTTTAGATCTGTGCTCTCTCTGCTAAAGCTGAAAACTTGAAGTCAACACCTGGCCTCATCATCAGAAGAGGAGAAATGCTCAACTGTGAGACCTGTGATCTCTAAAACAGTCAAGATCAGGAAGGACAGACAAGGAACGTGAAGCCATCACAGATCGAAGGAACACACACACACACACACACACACACACACACACACACACACACAGTGGAAAATGGGTGTGTAAAGGCGGTGTGTGATTCCAGAGGGATCCCTTGACTGTGACAGATGTTATTGCAGCAGCTGTAAGACCCCAATGGGTCTGAATGAAAGGACAGTGAGGAATTAAGATCAGCATCCTCCTTGCAGTACAGGAATATAATGATAGGTGTCGGTCCTGTGTAAGAATTCCACAGAGACGTACCCAAAGGCGACAGCGCATCACGTCTGCAAATTACTTCCAGGTTACTCAGTAAAAAGTACTATTGCTATTGTTTTCTAAGGATTATTTCTGAAATTATCTTTCAAGGGTGGGGGGAAAGAATCATTAATAATCACAGTAAACAAGAAAGGCAAAGTACATTTCAGCTGAATTTTGATGATTTAGGAAAGAATTTCACTTGAAATTTTGGAGACTGAGACTGTAGCTTGGAGGTAGAGCACTAGCCTACTACACATGAGCTCTGGATT